TAGGTCTCACCATGTTTAAGGGGCAGGGATGGTACAAGGGTATGAACACCAGGAGGCAGGGTTCCTGGGGGCCACCTTAGTTAAGAATCTGTCTTCCACAGCCTATAAACATTGTTTGTGGACTTCTGTAATGTACTTTCTTGGAAAATATACTTTCTGAGCTATAAATGCTTTTCATTTTAATTCTCTAACTTGTTATTGAAATATTAATGGTATAGGTTATATTTCAAAAATAATGCTCTCCCAATTAAACTCTGTGCTCCTCTTCTGTTTTCTTTTCAAGTAAAAATACTATGGTCTGGCCGGTGTGGCTCAGTGGACTGAACATTGTCCCATGGGCTGAGAGGTCACTGGTTTGATTCCCAGTCAGGGCACATGCCCAGGTTGCAGGCTTGATCCCCAGTAGGAGGGGTGTGCAGGAGGCAGCTGATTGATGTTTCTCACATCGATGTTTCTCTCTCTCCCTTCCTTTCTCTCTAAAAAAATCAATACAAATATATTTTTTAAAAATGCTATAGAGTTAGACTTTGAATTTGTAATCTTATACAAAGGAAGTGTAGCCTAAATTATATATGTAAAAAAAAAGTCCTGGCCGGTTTGGCTCAGCAGTTAGAGCATCAGCCCGCAGACTAGAGACCCAGGTTTGGTTCCCACTAAGGGCACGTACCCTGTTTGAACTTTGTCCCTGGCCCCGATTGGGGTTGTGTGGGTGGCAACCAGTCGATCTGTCTCTCTCAAAACACATCAATGTTTCTCTCTTTCTCTCTCTCTTTCTCTCCCCCCTCCCTCCCTCCCACTCTATCTGAAGATGAATGCAAAAATATTCTCAAGTGAGGATAAAAAGATAATAATTATAAATTATATATGTAAATATATGCATTACTGTAGTGTACACAAAACTGTTTACTCTGTCTAATGGATGATTTTAAGCAGTTTAAGGATTATCTTAATTTGACATAATTTTTTTTCACACCTACTGATTTTAACTGTAACTGCTTTGTAAGATAGAAATCCATTACATCATGAAATATCTACTTTATACTGATACTGTTCATGGTGGTGACATTCATGTCAAGGGACGTTTAAGGAAAAGTATGCGTGCCTGCTATTACATTACATCAGGTCTACTTGATTACAGTCAAATTTCAGTTCTCAAGTGTCTCCCACCTCGAACAATTCAGTTCTTGACCAAGTTGATCATAAAGAAAATGTCTCAATTATTGAACAAAAATTTGTTTTTTAACCCAACAATCCTTTCATGCTGATACCTGTATGATGAGTCACACATGTCTCAGGAAACAAAAAAGGAGAGAATGCACAAGTATGACTCAGTTTACCACTAAACCTCAAGTTATTAACATCTCAGAAAATTGTGCTGTGAATATTTTTGTGTAGTTTTTTTTTTGCTTTTGTTCCTGCTTATTATTATTAAATACATGCAATAAGTCACCATCAGTCCTAAGAAGGTTAGTGATAGCAGCAAAGTGAAAAGAAAAGTTGTGAGAACGACAATAGAGTTTAAAAAAGAAATAATTGCAAAGTATAATAGAGGTGTTCTGTGTCTGATCTGGCCACCCAGGATGGCATAATGAAATCGACAATTAGCACAATTTTGTTGTTGTTGTTAATCCTCACTCAAGTATCTTTTTCCATTGATTTTTAGAGAGAGTGGAAGGGAGAGAGAGAGAGAGAAATATCTACATGAGGGAGATACATCAACTGGTTGCCTCCTGCACGATCCCAACTAGGGCAAGGATTGAATCTGGAACCCAGGTACATGCCCTTGACTGGAATTGAACCTGCAACCCTTTGGTCCACACGCCGAAACTCTAACTACTGAGAAAAACCAGCCAGGGCTGTGATGGGATTTTTAAATTTATAGTTTACTCACCTAAAACTATTGAAAATATACACATTTGTTGATTGGATACCATTTTAGGTCATTGTCTTTTTCAGAGTATGAGGCAAAGGGACATCTGTTTTTTTTTCTTTTCCAAGTAGATCTAGAACTGTGTTGTCCAATATGGTAGCCGCTAGCCACATGTGGCTATTGAGTACACGTGGCTAGTCCCAACTGAGATGTGCTATGAGTGCAAAATATATACTTGATTTCAAAGACTTAGTACAAAAATATAAGCTATCTCAATAATTTTATATTGATTACATACTATAATGAAAATATATTTAATATATTGGGTTAAACAAAATATATTACAATTCATTTGACCTGGGCTTTTTTTACCTTTTTAATACAGTAACTAGAAAATTTAAATTACATATGTGGCTCACATTATACAGGGGTAGGCTAAAATAGGTCAATAATAATAATAAATAATACAATAATTAATAAATAATAATACAAGAAAAAACTCTGCTTCATGTACTCACAACTGTAAACCCACTTTTGCCCACCTTTGTATTTCTGCTGGACAGCACTGGTCTACAAAATCTTATACATTTACTAGTCTTTGGGAACTGCTGTTTCTGAATTGTTTGCTTCCAAAGGATATTCGAGAGTAAAAATTTTAAGTGTCTCTAAGCAAAAAAAAAAAAAAATTTAGTTAGTTTTCCTTGATAGTCCCACTAAAGTACCCAAATATATAACATATCAAAGTTAGGAAGTATACATATGATTTCACTTACATGTGGAATGTAAAGAACAAAATAAATGAACAAACAAAATAGAAACAGACTCATAGATACAGAGAGCAGACTGATAGTTGCCAGAGGCGGGAAGGTGACTGGCTGAAAGAGGTGAAGGGATTGAGAAGTACAAATTGGCCCTGGCCAGGTGGCTCAGTTGGTTGGAGCATCATCCTGTACACCAAAAGTTTTCGGGTATGATCCCCAGTTGGGGTGTGTATGGGAGGCAACCAATTGATGTGGCTCTCTCATATCAATGTTTCTATCTCTCTCTCTCCCTTCCTCTCTCTATAAAAATCCATTTAAATAATATTTAAAAAAATAAATTTAAAAAATAAAAGTGAACAATTCAGTGGTTTTAGTATATTCAGAGTCATGCAATCATCACCATAATCTAAATTTTTTTTCTTTATTGATTTTAGAGACAGAGGAAGTGAGAGAGAGAAAGAGAGATAGAAACATGGATGAGAGAGAACATGACTAGCCACCTCCTGCGTGCCCGCCACTGGGGATCGGGCCCACACCTGGGCATGTGCCCTGACTGGGAATCAAACTGGTGAACTCTTGGTACATGGGTCAACACTCAACCACTGAGCCACACCGGCTGGGCCAACACAATCTAACTTTAGCACATTTTCCTAACCCCATCACCCCAACCCTAGGCAAACACTTATTTACTCTTTGTCTCTATAGATTTGCTTATTCTGGCTATTCCTGATAAATGGAATCATACAATACATGGTCTTTTGTGACTGGCTTCTTTCTCTAAACATGTTATCAGGGTTCATCCGTGTTCTAGCAGAACTTCACCCCTTTTCGTGGCCAAATAATATTCCATTGTGTAGATATACTACATTTTATTTATACTACATTTTATTTATCCATGGAACCTTTTTTAACACTTAAAAATTAATGAACCAACAAGTACTGGCGAGGGTGTGGAGTAAAGGGGACTCTAGTACACTGCTGGTGGGAATGCAGACTGGTGCAGCCACTATGGAAAACAACATGGTGTTTTCTCTAAAAATTAAAAATTGATCTGCCATTTGACCCAGTGATCCCACTTCTAGGAATATATTCTAAGAAGCCTGAAACACCAATCAGAAAGAATATATGCACCGCCTATGTTCATAGCAGAATTATTTACAATCACTAAGACTTGGAAACAGCCCCAAGTGTCCACCAGTAGATGAATGGATAAAAAAGCTGTGGTACATGTACACAATGGAATACTATGCAGCTATAAGAAAGAAAGATCTCTTATCCTTTGAGATGACATGGAGGGACCTGGAGAGTGTTATGCTAAGCGAAATAAGCGAGTCAAAGAAAGACAAATACCACATGATCTCTTGTTTGTGGAATATAATGAACAAGGTGGGCTGATGAATGAAACAGACCCAGAGACATAGAAAGGAATATGGTTCAGACTGACAAACCTCAGAGGAGGGGGGCGGGGGGATGGATGAGATGAACCAAAGAATTTATGTGCATGTATGCATAACCAATGGACATAGACAACAATGCTGGCGGGTGGGGTGAGATTGGGAAGAGGGTGTCCATGGGGAAAAAGGAGAAACATCTGTAACAAAAATAAATTAATAAAAATTGGAAAAAATTAACAAACATAATATTTACCTTTAGTAAGAACTTTCCTGTATATTCTCATATGGGGCCTCATAATATTTTTTTTTAGGTAGGTGTTGCTGTAGTCAACACCATTTTATAGGGGAAGAAATGGAGGCTCAGAAAGCCTAACCAATTTGCCTAAAATCACAGCGTTGAAGAACCAGAACTCATACTCAAAGCTGGTTCATCTGACTCCAAATCATGTTTTTCTTCTTATTGCCACAGCTGCCACCCCACCACTCCTTGGTGATTTTGTTGTAAAGAATAATTACTCCATAGTTATCTTTTTTGCTAACTTTTCTGTTGTTCCTTGATTGAACATATTGTTAGATGCGTGAAATGGACTTGAAAAGAACTTTTAATGTGGCCTCTCCCAAAAACTTTGTAGATAAGATGGAAGTGTTTTCTAGGTGATCTTACACTTCATTAGCTTAGCAACAGATAGAACAACTGTACAAGAAGCAAACTTCTCAGCACATTGATGTCCACCTATGGGGACAGGTACAAGGGTGTGCTGGAGGGTTTTCTTTTCCCTGTCTCATGAAAAACTTTTATAATGACCTAGATAAAACAATGCTTGTGTTAGAAGACCTAGTTTATAATATCTGTAGAAGTCCTGAAGCTGAATTTTTAAAATTTTATCCATCTGGTAGCGTCATACACAGAGAATATGCACAGTAAAACTTTTTATAGTGATAACATACTTCTCTTGGTTTCCTTTTTTCCCATAGGGTTCTGTAGCTATAGCCGGTGCTGTTATTCGCTGGCTAAGAGACAATCTTGGAATTATAAACAGTTCAGATGAAATTGGTGAGTATATTCTAACAAAGGATTAGAATCTAAATAATAAAAAATTGAAATATTTTACCTTTGCAACCTGTTAGTACTTGTGCTTTTGCCCCATGTGTGACATTAAATTATATGGATCCCTATTATGAGTTTGATTTATACATAAAGGACTGTTTTGTGAAGATTTATAAAACAACGAGAATTGACATATTTAGTGGTGGTTATTAATAAACTGGCAAGGTAGGGCATAAAAATTACCCAAGTGTAAAATTGAACACCAAAGATTGCCAGAACCTGCAGGGGAAGTCATTTAGTTAAATTTATCTGATGAGAAAGAGCTTTAACTCTTGGATTACAGTGAGCATTAAAACTCTAGTGCCTACAATTTAAGTATTGATATGGCTGTTTTCAGTTTATGGATAATTATTTTGAACTTACCTACCCACTCTTCCATCTAACTGTTTAATTTTGCCTGAAGGTGAGCTCATCAGAAAAACATTTCTGATTAGGAGTGCACTAGAGGCCACTTCTTCATTTTCCAGTCAGCAACCTTAAAAGTAGTGGAAATGAGCTAAAATACCTTTAGTGAAACTAACCCAGTTCCTTTATTTGAGGGGATAGATTACATTTTAGTGGTGGCAGTCAATGTGGGGCAATTTATTTTGGTTGCTCCTAGCATACTGCTATAGTTAGGAACATTTCATTGTATTAAGGAATAGGAAATTAAAAACCCCGTTCTAATTTTTTTAAATAGATGTGTTTCTTGACAAAAGTAAGTAGGATATATTAGAGTGATTTCGGTTTTTGTTTTTTTCTCACATTAGAAAAACTTGCTAAAGAAGTAGGTACTTCTTATGGCTGCTATTTCGTCCCAGCGTTTTCAGGGTTATATGCACCTTACTGGGAGCCCAGTGCAAGAGGGTAAGAATTAAAAATAAGGTATGCTTTGGTGGGTCTAATAACTTATCAGTCAATAGTTTCCTATCTATTTTCAAGTGATTTTTAAAAATATGTTTTTATTGATTTCAGAGAGAGGAAGGGAGAAGGGGAAAGAGATAAAAACATTGATGAGAGAGAGAAATTGATTGGCCGCCTCCTGCATGCCCCCTACTGGGGATCAGGCCCACAACCTGGGCATGTGCCCTGACCAGAAATCAAACCTGCGGCCTCCTAGTGCATGGGATGACGCTCAACCCACTGAGCCACACCGGCTGGGCTATTTTCAAATGATTTTAAAGTATTGAGGAAACCTTTTTTATTTTATAACCTTTTATCTCCAAGAAGTTATAAATCATCTGACACTAAGCCCCCACCATGTCCATATTCACATTAGTGTTATTTTTTATCTTCAAGGCCTCTGCAAGTTGTATATCAAAGGGTCATCATCTAGATCAATGCTATTTGGTTTTATATTTTTGTCATCTATTCACATGGATCATGAATTTTTTCATATGTGGATGCAGGATTGTGGACCACAAGGACTTTCTAAACTACTTAATGTTTCTGTCCAGTTTTGCTTTGTTTTTTTTGGTTTGTTTGTTTGTTTTTCTATTTGTTCTATCTACCAAATTCAACCTTTCTATATTCAGGACATTTTAGATTGATGACTCATTTCTTATCACTCTTATCACTCTAACCTTAAAAATGTTTGTATTTTTAGGATCATCTGTGGCCTCACTCAGTTCACCAATAAATGCCATATTGCTTTTGCTGCATTAGAAGCTGTATGTTTCCAAACCCGAGAGGTAATAAATATAGACCTGTTTTCTTATACTAAATCTGCTCTTATCATTCTTAAACAAATTACATGAGTGTCAGGAAGTTATTTGAATACTTTATACATTTATTAAATACTTAGTCAAAAATTAAACCTGCCTAAACACTAATGTAATAAATGTAAGTTTTTGTTCTTTTTCCAGATGGCATTAACTTCTGAGTTCCTGTCATCTGCCAGGCACTGGGCACTTTGTGGATGAGGGGAGGCTGAGTGGGACATGTTAGGCAAAGGGAGTAGAACTAACAGCCATTGAGGCAGGACACCTGAGTATAAATAGAGTTATTTGGTTTGGGTGAGGTCAGAGGTATAGGGAGAAAAGAAGTTGGTTGTGACCAGGCCAAGGAGGGCTTAGAAGATCAGAATAAGAAGTCTAAATTTTATTCTGTAGGCTTTGGGAAGCTCCTGAGCATTTATTTATTTATTTATTATTGATAGTTTACAAATGTCCCCCATTTTCCCCCTTTTTGCCCCCCTCCCCCCAGCCCCTGCCCCACTGCAGGCCTTCCCCATGCTATTGTCTGTGTCCATGGGCTATGCATATATGATCTTTGGTTAATCTCTTTCGGTCCCCTCCCCACTGAGATTTGTTATTATATTCCACACATCCATGCCTGTGGTCCTATTCTTGAGCATTTTTTGAGTAGAAAATCGCCATTTTCAAGGATGTGACTATGAAGTAGTTTATGTTCATTACATTGGTTTATTTAAGATTTTGGATGCCATGAACCGCGACTGTGGAATTCCACTCAGTCATCTGCAGGTAGACGGAGGAATGACCAACAACAAAATTCTTATGCAGCTACAAGCAGACATTCTGTATATCCCAGTAGGTTAGTAAGCCTTCATTCCTTTCGATTCTGAGAATATTTCTTTTGGAAGAACTGTTGTTTAGGCATATGTTAGAAAATAAATACAAAGTTGTTAATGTTGCTCTCTCCTTCAGTGAAGCCCTCCATGCCGGAAACAACCGCCCTGGGAGCTGCCATGGCAGCAGGGGCTGCAGAAGGAGTTGGTGTTTGGAGTCTGGAACCCGAGGACCTGTCAGCCGTCACAATGGAGCGGTTTGAACCCCAGATCAATGCTGAGGGTACATTTCAAAAATGAAACTTTTCTTGGTATACCGTGAATACAACCTCAGTGAGAGAGAGCTTGCCTTTGTGTTTATTCATAAGAGAAGGCACCAAGTACAATGGCAAATGCTACTGTTTCAGGTTTGGCTAGTAAGCATGTTGGGCTATACCGAATGAGTGTGAATGAGAGAAATCGTTCCTTATATACATAAAAAAAAAAAACCTTCTATAAAAAAAAGCTAAAAACTTCTAGAATCATATTTTTACTGCTCACGTTTACAGTGCTTTTGTGTAGGAGGATAACACTGCCACACTATCAGTTCTAGCTTGTTCAAATAACCTTTTTTAAAAGGAAAAAAGGAGCTTTATCAGCTACCCATCCCTAATGTCTACACGGGATCAACTTTGATGCCAATGGCCTGGTTTTAGGACATGATTACCTGGGCTAAAGGACGTTCTGGTAACTTTTTTTTTCCTTTATTAATTTTAGAGAGAGAGGAAGGGAGAGGGAGAGAGAGATAGAAACATCGATGAGAGAGAACATCAATTGGCTGCCTCCTGCATGCCCTCCACTGGAGATCAGGCCCACAACCTGGGCATGTGCCCTGAATGGGAATCGAACCAGCGACCTCTTGGGCATGGCTTGTTGCTCAATCACTGAGCCACACTGGCTGGGCCATTCTGTTAACTTTTAAGCACAGTGGGGTTAGCCAGGCAAAAGCAGCAACAGTTTAAATAACTAAGTGTTAAATCTTATTCACTTCCTAACAAACTAAGCTAAGGCCCAAGCCCTGACCACACCATTATAAAAATAATCTAGTGAACATTCAACAATCAAGATAAGTGAAAAAAATAAAAATAAATAAATGAAATAAAATAGTCTAGTGAGCTTGGCCAGTGTGGCTCAGTGGATTGAGCATCGTCCCATGGACTGAGAGGTCTCAGTTCCATTCCCAGTCAGGGCACATGCCTGGTTACAGGCTCGATCCCCAATAGAGGGCGTGCAGGAGGCAGCCAGTCGATGTTTCTCTCTCACATCCATGTTTCTCTCTCTTTCTCCCTTCCTCTCTCTAAAACAATAAATAAAAATATATTTGAAAAAATAATACTTTAAAAATTGTCTAGTGATATACCTCTTAAATTGAAACAAATTTGAGTACAAAAATAAGGTTTATATATATATTGAATTTGGTTTCATAACTTTTTTAAAACCTATGCATACAAACAGCATCAAAGTGAATTTTGAGCTATTGGGAAATAAGCTTCAAATCCATTTTTAATTTCCTGGAAGACTATGCCAGTGTGTCTTAATTTAATTCAATCTTTTCCATATATAAGAAAATGGGCTGTAATACTAATGATTTTAAAGTCAGACAGTATCGGCTTCTGGTCAAGATGGCAGCATAGGTAAATGCAGTACTGGCCTCCTCCTACAACCACATCAAAATTACAAGTAAACTACAGAACAAACATTCAGAACTGACTGAAATTGAGCTGAATGGAAGTCCTACAACTACGAAATTAAAGAAGAAGCCATATTGAGACTGGCTCCAGCATGAGGGAGGAAGCTTGAAAGGCACCAAAGACATACAGGGAAGAACTGAGTTGTTTGGCATCCGGGTAAGAGCTAGAGAGGCAGCTTTCTCCTGGACAGATCTGCTGACAGAGGCTGTTCCTTTGGTGAGCCCCTTCCCTACGGACCCTGGAGACAGGCACAGAATCTGGGACTCTACCATTATGATTCACACTGTATGCCCTGCTCCACCCAAGTTTTGGGCCCACCCAAGCTATTTCCAGTGGCTTTACTGTAGGAATGGCCTGTCTTGGCTCCTGCTTCAGATTTTCCTAAATTCTCTCAAACAAGCAGCACCTGGCCTCAGTGAGCCCCATACCTCTCACTAAGTGGCCCCAGGCCTGGCACCAGAAGCAGCCAGCCTTGATTCACAGCTTGGCTTTGCCTGGGCACCTCCAAGACCAGCACAAGCAGCAGCCATTGGCGGATCACTTTGTACCTTATGCCTGGTAGCCCCAGGTAGAACACGGGCAATGAATGACCTGGCCCCAGAGCAAGCACACCCAGTGGACAGCTTCAGACCACATCGAAGCATCACCACCCAACCACCTCCACAAGTGACACACTCAAGGAGTGGACTCAGTGGGTACCAGAGCCCTGCTGAAGTAAGTCTTGCTCTGTGTGGTGGACCCCTGCACGGCTGATCCTCCAAGGTGGTCAGAGGTCACTGGTCAGCAGGCACAGCCAGTCTTTGCAGCTGATCAGCCTGAGTAAATCCCTCCCATTGATGTGCAAACAACAATCAAGACTCAATTACAACAGAAGGGTGCATAGCCCACAGTAGGGGTACACCTCAAGGGGACATCTGGGGTGATCAGGGAGGCTGTGCCACAGGACCCTACAGGACACCTACTACAATAGGCCACCCTACCAAGCCTAGGATACATAGCAACCCTACCTAATACATAAAAACAATCACAGGGGGCAGCCAAAATGAGGAGACAAAAAGACATGTCCCAAATGAAAGAACAGGAAAAAAAAAACCTCCAGGAAAAGAACTAAATGAAATGGAAATAAACAATCTAACAGATCCAGAGTTCAAAACACTGGTTATAAGGATGCTCAAGGAACTTAGTGAGGACCTCAAGAGGATAAAAAATGACCAGTCAGAAATGAAGAATGCACTAACTGAAATAAAGAATAATTTACAGGGAATCAATAGTAAAATAGGTGAAGACAAGAAGCAAACCATTTATTTGGAATATAAAGAAGCATAAAACACCCAATCAGAACAGCAAAAAGAAAAAATAATTAAAAATAAATGAGGATAGTATAAGGAGTCTCTGGGACAACTTCAAGTATAACAACATTTGTATCATGGGGTGCCAGAAGGAGGAGAGAGAGAGCAAGAAACCTATTTGAAAAAATAATGACAGAAAACTTTACTAACTTGGTGAAGAAGACAGACATACAAGTCCAGGAAGCACAGAGAGAGTCCCAAACAAGATGAACCCAAAGAGGTCCACACCAGGACACATCATCATCAAAATGCCAAAGGTTCAAGACAAAGAATCTTAAAAGCAGCAAGAGAAAAGCAGTTTGTTACCTACAAAGGAGCATCATAAGACTGTCAGCTGATTTCTCAAAAGAAACTTTGCAGGCCAGAAAGGAGTTGCAGGAGATATTCAAGCTGATGAAAAGCAACGACCTCTAACCAAGATTACGCTATCCTGCAAAGCTATCATTTAGAATCGATGGACATATAAAGAGTTTCCCAAACAAGAAAAAGCTGAAGGAGTTCATCACCACCAAACCAGTATTATATGAAATGTTGAAGGGTCTTCTTGAAGGAGAAGAAGAACAAAAATATGAACAATAAAATGGCAATTAATACATATTTATCAACAATTGAATCTACAAACAAAATGAGCAAGAACAGAAACAGACTCATAGATACAGAGAACTTTTTGTTGGTTGCCAGATGGGTGGGGGCTGGAGAGATGAGTGAAAAAGATGAAAGAATTAAGAAGTACAAATTAGCTGTTAGACTGATGAATCTCAGAAGTAAGGAGGATTGGGAGGGTGGGAAGGGATAAACCAAAGAACATATATGCATATATGCATGACCAGTGGACACAGACAATAGTGTGGGGAAGGCAGGAGTGGGGAGGAGAGGGTCAATGGGGAAAAAAGGAAGGACATCTGTAGTACATTCAGCAATAAAGATAAGTTAAAATAGCCCGGCCGGTGTGGCTCAGTGGTTGAGCGTCGACCCATGCACCAAGAGGTCACCTGTTCAGTTCCCGGTCAGGGCACATGCCCAGGTTGTGGGCCCAATTCCCAGTGGGGGGCATGCAGGAGGCAGCCAATCGATGTTCTCTCTCATCGATGTTTTGATCTTTCTCTCCCTCTCTCTCTAAAATCAATAAAGAAAAAAATATTTAAATAAAAACACACAAAACATTTGTTTAGAGCTGACTAAAGGCAGAAACTGTCTTTATGTGGGGATATAAAGATGAATAAAGACCAAGTTCTTGCCCTCCAGAAGGCTCAAGTATATTAGGAGAGGTAGACAAAACCATGAAAATTCACTGTAGAAGCTGCTATCTTGAGGTGTGTGTGAGGTGCTATGGACGTTGGATGAGGGGCAGAAGTGGGGCAATGGAAAGCTCTCTGAAGCCAGTGATATTTGGGCAGTGTCTCACAGGAGTCACAGCCTTGAGGTGCTGTGGAAAGGCTGGGAAGCTGGAAAAAACCATAGCTCTGTACTGTACATGTTGCCCATTGTTAGGAGTGCAGTGTATGTGTGGATGCACCAGTGCCCATTTTTGTTTAGTCCTCTTATTGTGGATTTCCACCTTAAAGAAATCCTGTCTCCATGTCCACTGTTCATGCATACATGCATATAAGTTCTGTGGTTCATCCCTCTCTCGCCTCCCCACTCCTTAGGGGATTGTCCTCAAACTGTTATGTTCATTATATTCCACAAATCAGTGAGATCATATGAAATTTGTCTTTCTCTGTTTGGCTTGTTTCACTTAGGATGATACTTTCCAGGTCCCTCCATGTAGTCTCAAAGGATAAGAGATCTTTCTTTCTTACCGCTGAGTAGTACTCCACTGTGTATATGTACCACAGCTTTAAAAAAAGAAATCCTGTCTCACAGGAATGAGATTTGAATCCTGTGAGAAATCAATACTTGTTAAATACTTTGGCTGGACCAAAAATAATTCTCCTTCTAGTCTTTCCACATTGTAGCATGCCCCTCCCTGTATTGCCAACAACCTCCCACCCCTTCTCAAAAAAAGAGAAATCAGCCCGGGCCAGTGTGACTCAGTGGTTTAGTGTTGTCCCCATGGACTGAGAGGTCCTGGTTCTATTCCCGGTCAGGGCACATGCCCGGGTTGTGGTGGGCATGCAGGAAGCAGCCGATGAATGTTTCTCTCTCATCAATGTCTCTTCCCCTCTCTCGCTCTCTCTCCCCATCTCCCTTCCTCTCTCTCTCTAAGGTCAATAAAAGCATTAAAAAGAGAGAGAGAAATCAGATTAAATGAGATTTGCCTTTTAAATTTATCACCACTTACTTGCAAATGGCCTGGCCTTAACAGGCAGCCTGTCTCCCATTCTCCCGTCACCCTGTAGACCATGCTGAATTTCCCCTCCAACTTCCAAAGAACCTTCTTTCCCAGTCATTGGCTATCACTAGCAAACATACTCTCTCAAATCTGAGTCCTGGTAAAGTCCCACACCAGTTAAATGTGTGTAACAATTTGCCAAGAAATGCTAAGTGAACATAAGTATGGCGCCTAAAACATCTCAGTAAACAGCCTTTCATATGTGTGTGTGTTTCCTGTCTTCTATTTCTAGAAAGTGAAATTCGTTATTCTACCTGGAAGAAAGCTGTGATGAAGTCAATGGGCTGGGTTACAACTGAGTCTTCTGAAAGTGGTAACTGTGTTTTCTATTATTATTGCCACTTTGTCTTAGTATGTTAACTAGGTTATTTAAGTATTTGACCATTTATACTTAGCAGAGATGCTCTGAAAAAAAGCATTACCATATATCCAGAGTTTCTCACATTTTGAAAATACTTTGAAGTTCTAAACATAAAATGTAAATTATCAGAGTGATTGCATACATCCTGCCATGTCTTTCGTTATTAGTTTATTCCTAGAACTTCAAGTTATACCTCAGTTTTCTAAAAGTGAAATTATTTCTAGTTTCTTCTCCTTTTTTCTAGTTTCTTCTTAATGGGAAAAAAAATCAACTACAGTCTTTGTTGTTTTTTTCTCTCTTAATGTCTTACTTTACCTTTTTGGGGGGCCGTCTTCATTACCTGAACCAATCAAAAACTATATTAATTTCAGAATATATTTCACTACTTCCTAAGCTGATTCCAAGTTCTTAGCGAGTGTACATTATGGGAATTCATTATGATCTGAGAGAAAGAAATGTTCCAGTCATAGTAAATTAGAAGTGTCATAAATTAGGAAATGCTCTTGGAAGAAAACAGAGGACTATTTTTTTTTTTAGTTGTTTAGGTTGGAAAGTATTCAGCTTAAGTAAACCATTTAGTTACAAGCAGCCTTAAGCTTCCTTTAATATGCCTATGCTATTTAAACAGCCTTAAACAGGCCTTTTTTAAAAAAAAATATGTTTTTTTATTGACTTTCTAGAGCGAGGAAGGGAGAGGAAGAGAGAGAGAAACATCGATGTGAGAGAGAAACAACGATTGGCTGCCCCCTGCACGCCCCCTGCTGATGATCAAGCCCAAAACCCAGTCATGTGCCCTGACTGGTAATGGAATTGGGACTTGTCAATCCATGGAATGACGCTCAATCCACAGAACCACACTGTCTGGGCTAAACAGGCCTTTAATATAACAATATTTTAATTACTTGCTAAATGCAAGATTTGGAACACAATGAATGGAACAACTGACCAATAATACATTGAAGCATATACTTTACTGAAGAAGGGTTTATAAATTATCACCTGCCTTCCAACCCCACAGTGGACATAAAACCACTTTTCCCCCCCACCTCCACCCCCTAGAACCACTTTTATTTTGTTTTGTTTTGTTTTTATTGATTTGAGAGACAGAAACATCAATTTGTTGTTCTTTTTTATGCATTTGTTAATTGCTTCTTATATGTACCCTGACTGGAGATCCAACCCACAGTCTTGGCGCTCTAACCAACTGAGCTACCCGGCCAAGGCCAAAACCACTTTCAATGAATCTGGCTTTCAGGAGAACCTTCTGGAACCATCCACTACCACAGATCACTATGATCTGTACTTTTAGTCCTGGATCTTGTTCCCACATGAAGCTTTCTCCTTAGTAAGCTTAATATCCTCCCTCCCCCCCGCCCCAATCTTTTATTCTGAGACTTGGTTAGAAAATATCAAAACAACCGCCCTGGCCGGTTTGGCTCAGCAGTTAGAGCGCCCAGAGAGACCCGGGTTCGGTTCCCGCTAAGGGCACGTACCTCGGCAGCAGTTTGTCCCCAGCCCTGGTTGGGTCGTATGGGTGGCAACCACTCGATGTGTCCCTTTCACCTCGATGTTTCTCTCTCTCTCTCTATCTGAACAAAATATCGAAAAATGTCCTTGGTGAGGATAAAAAAAAAAAAACATGTTCTCAGGCAGGTTTTTAGACTGTAGATTAATACAATTTCGTTTTCAAATGAGAGTAATATTAACAGTCAGATGCATTTTTTTACATCAAATTCTATTTTAAAAAGAAAAACAAAACCGATAGGGCTTGAAATTTATGATCGGTGGGTTAATATAACTTTTCTGATAGCCAATCTATAATTTGAATTTGGGGGGAATTGCATTGCTTATTTTGTAACTTTGGGGAAAGACTCAAGAAAGCTAAAATCAACAGCCTCCCAAAAAGTTCTCCATCGGCTTTCTTTGGCTTTGCCAGTGGAAGGTGTATGGTCTATATGCATTATGTTCTTGGCTACCCGTGGCATGCTATCTGCATTGTTTGTTAATTGTCATAAGCCTTCTATATTGATTATATTTTTGATTTGAAGTAATAACTCTTTGCTAGCTTTTATGAATATACTTTTTGTAACTTATTTTGTTTTGCTATCATGTGATTCTTAACACAAATATTGTAATTATGTGTCTCTCTTTTGGTTTGCTTGACTGGAATTCCCTTCTACTTGGATGACCACAGGTGACCCTAGTATCTTCTGTAGTCTACCCTTGGGCTTTTTTATAATGAGTAGCATGGTAATGTTAATCGGAGCAAGGTACATCTCAGGTCAGTTACTCTTTAAATTAGACAATTTTATTAGTTAGTGTTAATGTATTTGTGTATAACGCAGCAGAAAGTTTTCAGTGTTTTTCATTCTTCCTGTGCTTAGGAACCTGGAAAATCCATTAAAGGTCTAATTAGACTAGAATTAAGGATTGTGGCTCTGCTCAACCTCTCACTTTTAGTAGATGATTTCTTTGAGGGGCTGCATTCTACTGTCAACTACAGCAATGAGCAAAAGTGCAAGTACTATTGCTAATGCTAAATGGCAGGACTTTCAAAGTGACAGATGAAAGTTCAAGTATAATTTTTGACAGTAATTAAATTGGCTTTCAAGTGTACATAAGATGTTTTTCATACTATGAGAATTTGCTGTGTATGGCTTAAGATTTTAATTCTGGTAAGAGTTTTGGCCAGAGTATGTTACCAGAGTTTCTGTAAAATGCTTAAATGGGAAAATGTCTAGTCACTTTTGCTTTCATTAAAAGACTACATTTTGTGAACTGAAGTTTTTAAAAAAATATTGCTTAAATAAATTGGGGTAGAATTAAAACTGAATTATTATTTTTTATACCTTAACTTCTACTGAAGATTTTTATGAAAGTAAAATTGCTCAGCATGTGATGAAATATGCTGCATAACTTATATTAATTTAAATATAATAATCATTTTGGAAGCTGTTCCTGATGCTAGCTCAATTTTTTTTTCAAATTAATGGCTTAAATGGAAATAACTTGTTCCATATGTTGCCAAGAAAGTGCAACATTTTAAAAGTCTTCATGATTAGGGAAAGAGTTAAATTATTTCCCTTAATTAACTAGATGATGCACTGCTTTTAAAATGTAAAATTTAAACTTTATTGATATGGGGGAAACATCTGTTTGTAGAAATCTGACAAGCCTTAATTCAGCTTGCCATCATCAGTTTAGTGCTATATATAAATATAGAATGAAAATTATTTCTATTAGTGATAAAATTTGGGTTACTTACATGAGAATTTAAAAGTAAGATTCTCTTTTTCTGTACTCTTCATATTTAGGATAAATTTATTCAAATCTGCATTCATAATGACAATACCTTATGTTGGTATTAGTGCTTTACACCTTACCATGGGCTTCTGTATATATAAATCTATAGGGAATTAGCAGATGTCTATTTTCTTGGTGGAAGAAGCCAATCATTCCCCAGAAGAGCTGTAATTTAAATGTATAAAGAAATGTATATGCAGTTTGGGGAGAACTTTTATTATTTTTCAGTATCCTGAGGTATTTTGGGCTGCATAATGATCATCTGGAAAAAGAAAGAAAAGTATATTGCAGCTAAAGGTTTTCATTGATTTTCTTTTCCCTCCAGTGTTTCCCCCTTGGAACCATGGCAGGATGAAAAGGCCTGCTCACTATGAATATTGAGCATATCTGTGAGCTAAAGGATACATTAAGTTGCCAAATTCCTAGGCTTCCAAAATGGATATGGTTACCATCTTTAGGTTCTCTGTTGGTAACCTATGCTGAGATTTGAGAACAGTGGGAACTGTTTGCCTTGGTAAACAACTAGCAATATTGTTAATATTTGCTAATTCTGGAGTTGGCCGTTATATTTGTTGCATTTTTAACCGTGAAGCAATATTTAGAGACCATATGGAATTTCTAACTCTATAAATGATTAAATAGTCTTCATTGCTTTAACTCCTGAGTTGCATGTATGTTATTATTGACATATATGGTTTTTGTCCCCCATTTTAGGTAACGCATAAATAATACCAATTTCATGGATTCCAACAATTCGAGTTCTTTACCTAACAAGAGACTCCAGCGGTTCTGTCTCTTAATGTGATGACACTATTCATAGACTGATTTTATTTATAAGCCACTTGCTGCATGACCCCTGAAGTAGACCTGTGGCTCGAAATAAAGAAAATGCAGCAGAAAGAATGCTATAGAAACATTTGGTGTGTTTTTTAACATCAACCATAAGATTGGACCAGCCACCTTTGGAGCTGAACCCTCCTTTGCCATCACTTCCTGCCCCATTTCCTCTAAGATCTAGGAATAATCCAGATCCTGTCCATTGGCAACTTTCCTCAAGCATAGTCAATTGCTGATGGGCCAGGATTTGATTCTCTGCACTACACACACTAGATCAAACGGTTATTACTAACTGGCTAAAAATGAGTGACTTTGTGTTTCTTTTCAGAAGACCCCAAAAGTTCTCTTTTCTGCATATGAGGGAGACCACAGAATCTTCACTGAATGTTTAAATGGAATCCTCTACTAAATTCTTATGATGAACGTTTAGTATTCTCATAGCTTAGATATTTTTCTGAAAGGTATTTGCCAAAACCAAAATTCTTCAGACATTTTCCATGATCTCACTAATTACACTAAATTTCTGTCTGGGTTTTATAGGGAAGAACGCTTTTTCCTCCACCCACCCCATCTCTCCTTTTTATATTTTTTACTTTATATGTATTACATACATGCCTATATATTTTATATACTGAGGGTAGCCCATTTATAAATTAAGAGTACATTTTACATGGCCTCACTAATTACACTGAATTTGTGTCTGGATCTTACAGAGAAGAACACTTTTTTGTTTCCTTTTTATATTTCTTACTTTGTATGTCTTACATACATGCCTATATATTTTATATACTGAAGGTAGCCCATTTATAAATTAAGAGCACATTGTATTCAGTAGTTTATAATGGGGCTGGTCTTAAGTAGACCACTATGTGTATAAATATTTTGGGGAAAATAGCTATATATGTTTTGGGACAACAGTTATTCACATTACTTGCCAGGAAAAATTTTTTTCTTAAAGAACCAACATTTGAAATAAAGTATGTGTTCTATGTCAATAAAAGAAAATATACTTTATTGTGACTTCAACTATATTTCTTAAACCGTACATTTTATTTAAATTTTATACCTGGATATATACTAAAGAAAGAACTGTGGAATACTACAGAAAATATTGTTTTCAAACACAAGTACTAGTCCATATAAAGTTATTTTCCTTTGACATAATTTTAAACATATTTGGGATCCTTTTGAGGGGATGTCAAAAAGGGTTAAAAGCTTAAGTAAAAAACAAATAAAAACAAAACATCTTAGAAATAAAGCCAAGATCACTTTCTATCCAAAAATGTTATTAATTACTGATAAGCAATTATAATTTCTATTTGGGATGACAGAATTACTTCTGCTTACTGTCATAACAACTGAAAAAGATTTACTATTAGAAATGGCTTCCAGTGATATGAAGACTTTCTCAAAATATTTAGTATTGTGTGTGCCTAATCTAACTTCTTAATGTCGATTTTTAAAACATCTTTAAATTAATTGCTGTTTACTACGAACAAGAATATACTGCCTCCTAATTATTCAATCAGTGCTGAAGATGGAAAAATATTTATATGTTAATATAAAAGGTTTTGTTTGGAATTCATGCTAACTTGGATTTGCAGTTCTCATTGTGCTGTTTCTAAATTGCTGAATCTGCTGGATTTTACTGATGTTGCTGCCACTTTAGTGACATAGATATTATAGAAAGGTACTGTGAAATGACCACTTTGGGCAGGGTACTTTTTTTTTTTTTATGGTACATGCCCCTAGCGGGAACCGAACCCGGGACTCTGGTCCGCAGGCCAATGCTCCAACCGCTGAGCCAAACCGGCCAAGGCAGTGGCAGGGTACTTTTAAACATAATTATGTTTCTACAAAGGTAGGTTCAGTTTATTGTAAATAATTGTGAAAATCACTGTTCAAATAATTTTAAGATGACATTAATTTTCTATAAATTGCAATATTTATAAATGTTTGAAATTGTATGCATTGCTATTTCGTGATAAATGTACTTAAAATAAATTGACCCCTCATTCTTACTTGCATTTCTCATTTACAGACTTTAACTTAGATCTAAGTTAAATTAAGACAGATGTTTAAGAAACCTCAAACTCGCCTATTAGCACTTGGTCAGGCACATTCTGAAGAGTTAACCAACAGCCAAGGAAGTAGTTTCTGAAATGATGAGCACATCAATCATTCTATTACAAAAGGCTACTCTGTCCTATTTTAGCATCCAGAAAACACCCTGGCAAGGTCAGCAGCCATTATCAATATGGTCTTGCGTGACTAACCATGACCTCCTGGTTTCATTCTATGCTTGCTTTTCTCTACCTGGACGTGTCGGTGGAGTCAAGTCTACCATTGTTCTCCCAACTCAATAGCCAACACTTGAATCTTTTGTTCTCCAACTAATCAGTAAACTAAGTAATGCATCTTTGCTTCTGTAACAGCACCTTAGATTTTTTAGTGTATGTCTTTTGAAGTGCCCAAAGCTCAGTCCTTTGGTTCATGGGTGTTTTATATCATACCGGAATGAAAAATGATAGCTATTTAGGAGAAACCACCAAATGAAAGATGTCGTAGCAAAGAAACCAACAGCATTGTCAGTAGAGCAGGCAGTATTTACCTCATAGTATCTACCTGATAGTAAATAGAAGTACAAAAATTATTTTTATAGCTTTAATGAGGTATAATTGATATATAGAAAACTACACATATTTCATGTATGCAATTTGATGTTGGACATATGCATACACTTAGCATACCATCACCACAATCGAGGTAATAAATATATCCATCACCTCCAAAAGTGTCCTCGTGTCTCTTTGCTCTTTTGTGTGTGTGTGGTAAGAATGCTTAATACAAAATCTACTCTTTTAAATGTTTTTATGGATTTTTTTAGAGAGGAAAGGAGAGGGAGAGAGTGATAGAAACATCGATGAGCGAGAGAAGCATCAACATGGATTGGCTGCCTCCTGCACGCTCCCTGTTGGGGATGGAGCCCGAAACCCAGGCCTGCGCCCTGACCAGAAATCAAACCAGCAACCTCTTGGTGCTAAGGATGATGCTCAACCACTGAGCCACACCAGCCAGGCTACCCTCTTAAATTTTTAAGGGCACAGAACCATATTGTAAACTACAGGCACTGTGTTGTACTGTAGATCTCCAGGGTTTAATTCATTTTGTATAACTAACCTTTATACCCATTGAACAACTCAACATAATGTATTCTAGGTCCATCCATGTTGCCACAAATGGTAGGATTGCCTTCTTTATTTAAGGCTGAATAATACTCTACTATATGCACACCTCACACTTTCTGCATTTATTTAGTAAATATTGTCACCAAAACATCCATCAAAGGGAGACTGGTTAAATAAATTGTGGTACAGCCACAAAAGAGAAAATTTGTAGCTTTAGAAAAGAATAAGGACACTGTAGAAACATGGAAACATCCAAGATAAGTGAAAAAGCAGGGTGCAGAGGGGTGCGTGTGTTACCTTTCTGTTTTTTTTGTTTGTTGTTTTTTGTTTGTTTGTTTTTTAAAGAGCTAGGATGTTTGCCTGCACTGGAAGGACATGGAAGAAGCTGTTATAATAGCCCAGCCAGTGTGGCTCAGTGGTTGACTGTTGACCCATGCAACAAGAGGTTGCCAGTTCGATTCCTAGTCAGGGCACATGTCCAGGTTGTGGGCCTGATCCCCAGTGGGGGGCATTCAGGAGGCGGCCAATTGATGTTCTCTCTCATTGATGTTTCTATCTCTCTCTCCTTCTCCCCTCCTCTCTCGCTCTAAAATCAATAAAGAAAAAAAAATTTGCCCATCTGGTGTGGCCCAGTGGGTTCAGTGTTGACCCGTGGACTGAGAGGTCCCAGTTCAATTCCCAGTCAGGGCACATGCCCGGGTTTCAGGCTTGATCCCCAGTAGGGGGCGTGTAGAAGGCAGCCGATTGATATTCCTCTCTCACATCGATGTTTCTATCTCTCTATCCCTTCCTCCCTTTCTAAAAAATCAATAAAGCCCAGCTGGTGTGGCTCAGTGGTTGAGCATCGACCTATGTACCAAGAGGTCACCAGTTCGACTCCCGGTCAGGACACATGCCCAGGTTGTGGGCCAGATCCCCAGTCGGGGGCATGCAGGAGGCGGCCAACCAATGTTCCCTCTTGTTGATGTTTGCTGTCTCTCCCTCTCCCTTCCTCTCTCTCTAAAAATTAATAAAGAAAAAGTTTTTCAAAGCTGGAAGAATGGGCAGCGCTGGGTGGAATAAATACTTGAAATGAGATTTTAAGTGGGGCTGGGGCAAGGCCCTTCATGCCTGGAGGCCAGGGCACTGCTCCCTTCTGTGCTCTCTCATCAGTGAAGGGGACAGAGGGGACCACTGCAGCTGAGATGGCCACCCCAGACTACCCAGGGTTAATAGCATCCCTGCTCTTGATCTGTCCCAGTGCCCAAAACGAAAGCAGCATTCCTCTTGGCTGAGGTTCTTTTCCTCTTTGAAAAGGTTTTTAATTTTTCAAGTTTCATTTTGCAATAACTTCAGACTTAAAAAGTTCCTTTCAAAACTGTCCAAATGATTGCACGACAGTGTGAATGTACTAAATGCCGCTGTATTAAACTTTCAGATGGTCAACTTTAAGTGATGTGACTGTAAGCCCAATTTTAAAAATACTTTCCAGGAAACAAATAAAATAAACCAGTGCACACACTTCTGTCGCTCCTGCCCAGATGACGCAGAGGGTAACATCTTCCCGGCCTTGCAGTGATAAGACCAGGAAACCTCAGGGCCACGCTAGGATTTGTTCTATCAGCCGCCTTCATGTCTGGGCAGCTGTGACCGTGGTGTCCTTGAGTAGGTTGGAGCCCTTTCTTGGGCTTCCTTTTCCTCCACAACCAAAGCACTGCTAACAAGTATGACACATGATTTAATAGAATGTTTCCTGATTTGGTTTGTCTGATGGTTTCTCATGAATAAATTCCAGTTAGGTGTTTTCAGCAAACATATCACCGAGATGATGGTCACTTTGACTACACCATCTCGATGAAACACAAAATGTGTGATGTCGATTTGTCCCTTTCTGGATTTGTTGACTTGGATGACTTTATTCGGGTGGTGTTTGCAGGATTCCTCACCATCATGTTAGTTAGTCCTTTTTCCCCGTGTACTTACCAAGTCATATTGTATGATTTCATTTATATGAAATGTCTAGAATAAACAAATCCATGGAGACAGAAAGTAGATTAATGGTTGTCAGAGGCTAGCGGGGAGGGAAAATGGAAAGTGAGTGCTAATGAGTACGGAGTTTCTTTTGGGGTGATGTATGACCCTGAAATGAATCCTCTGAAGGAAATGAATTGTATTTACTCTTTGAAAATAGAGGTTAAGAAATTTAACTCCTTTTTATTCCACTTACACTGTTTTCAAGCTTTTAATATTGGAAATAAGAAAAATGCTTTAGTCATTAATATATAAAAGATTGATGCAACAAAAGGTCTAGTGTTCCACTCACCTTCCCAAGGGATTTCAAAGTTTGTCCAATAGAAAGTACTGATATTAAAGCATACAGTTAGCTCTGGCCAGGTAGCTCAGTTGGTTAAAGCATAGTCTCATACACCAACCAAAAGACTGCAGGTTCAATTCTTGGTCAGGGCACATATCCAGGTTACAGATTCGAGGCCTGGTTGCGGCACATACGGGAGGCAAACAATCGATGTTTCTCTCTCACATCTATGTTTCTATCTCTCTCCCCCTTCCTTCCTCTCTAAAAATCAATAAAAATATATCCCCATGCGAAGATTTTAAAAAGTTTAGAAAAAAGAATAGAAAAGTATTCATAGTCATAAAATAATGCCTGTGGTTATTTTGATCTTTCCCCTCAAGCTTTAAGGGAGTATTTTTATAGATTTCAAATGTTCATAAACTTTATATAAAAACTTAAAATGCAAAACAATATGAGGTGTCATATACATGGACATATACAAGTGAACTAGAAGTACAAAACTTGCATAGGAATAACAGATACCAAGTCTAGGGTGGTGGTTACCCCTGGAAGGGAAATGATGGAATCAGGG